CTATCATTAATCCCATCCTTGTTATTATCATATTTGGATTTGGATGATTAGTATGGATTGGAAGATGGTTGTCTTATAAGCTTAACAACTAGGGTTGTGAACAAACTCTTCTTTGTTTATTAAAAATTTTAATCTATTTCTTGTGGGATCGGCTTGGTGGTAATTTTATTTTTTTATGACCGTGGTGTCCGGGACTCCGGGCCAACATTCGCGCACCTCAACTAATTCCACGGGATACCTGCCACCTCCCCAACAACACGTACCAAATAACTATCCACCAAGCCAAGGCTAGGACAGATGGAAAAAATCACCTACTGTTTTTTGTTTCATACCAGTCGTAATAGCACTGTTCTCGTAGTTTCTTGTCCTTCGATTTTTGTTACAACCTGTTGTTCCTTTTTTTGAACATCGCATCATTATATTGTTGTTACTATTCCATTTTTTTTAATTATGTAATGCTTTCCCTACTATTTGCTATGTCTTCTTTGTTTTCTATTTTCCTTTTCAAAATACCTTGGTATGCGTTACTTGGGTCGAGAGTCTTCCGGAAAAAACCGCTCTACCTCCACGAGATAGGGGTAAGGTCTACCTACACTCTACCCTCTCCTATACTGGGATGTTTTTGCAATTTATTTCTTACCAATTATGTTTGCTTTAATTGTTATTTGATTAATTATGTATTGTATTGATTCTTTGATTCCTATCAACTCTTGAAAAAACTCATTTACTTTGGTTTGAACTCGGAAGAAGAAATTTAATATTGGGTCAAGATTAATCAACAAGACAACAAGGAATTGGATTATTTAAATTAATATAGCCTAAATTACCATGATTAAGACTACGTATAAGGCCTTCACTTAATTAGATAAAATTAATGCGTTTTGGTTGAACTCGAGGGAGTTAACAAGGATAGCATCCCGTTTTATCGGGATATTAATGGGTAATTAAGATCTAGTTAATTAGTAAAACTAAAGGGGAAATTAAGAATCCACAAGTAATGCCATTGTCTTAAACACAATAGGTGAGAGATTAGGCAATGCATTGAATTAGACTTAAAGTAAGGTTGCAATCCTATATATCCATTACTTTCTCAAATCGTGACCTTCATTGATATTTTAGTTTGGCTTTCCTAGATAGTTTATGCTTTCCTTCGGTAACAATAGCAATATCATTTTATAAGTGTCTTGGCTTTACACAAAGATAAAGCTACTAACGGCATCGTCTCCATATTATTGCTCCACGTAAGCTTCACCTCCAACTCACGCCTGGTAAGGGGTGACAATTGGGCGGGTTGGGTCAAATTTGGATGGGTCAAGACCAAACCCAATCCAAATTTGCTTGGGTGAAAACAGGTTGGGTAATGAGTCATAGAACAGGTCAAGACCCCAATTGTTTTGTTTGTTTTTTTAAAATATTTTAGTACCTAACAAAAAAAAAAATCTTTATTATGGCCATATATAACATATCAAATGATTTAAAAAGCTTGTAAAAACATTTTGACGAGATTTCTCATTATTCAATTTGGGTCCATATCAACCCAATTTTTAATGGGTTGAAATGGGTTCAGCTAATAAATGGGTGGGTTACTTAAACGGGTTGGATTTGATTTTGCCACTCCTACGTTTGGTATTACACTTATGATGACTGTTTATTCTATATCAGGCTGGATAATGTCAACAAAACTAGGGTTCTGGAATGGTTGGAAAGAGCACAAGGCAAAGTATGTGTCTTAATGCTCAACGGCGATAAAGACCTGACCAAACCAATGTCAATAATCATATTAGAAGCTCAAGAACAAAATATTTGTACTCTGAAGTTCATTTCTATCCTGCCAGAACAATGTACATTACATGCCACAAAAATAGGTTACAAGCCACTAGAGGACTGAGAGCTTTCTCAGTTCTTTTCATTTTTTTGGAGTGTTTGGCAAAATTCAGAGTAGCTTTTAAGGTAAGGGCTCTTAAGCCAAAAGCAATAACTTGGGATTGTCCAACTTATTGTTTTTTACTTATTTTAGCTTAACAATTCTTTTACTTTGATTAATTTGTTAACTTTTCATCATAAATAAAATCATTATTTTTAAACACCAATATAATTAAGCTCCAACACTTAAAAAAAGTGTTTTCAGTAGTTGAAGCTTAAAAGCTAATTAAATTCAGCAAATCCAAATGGGCTCTAATTGTATTCGCAATGGCATCAAAGGAACTTTGATGAGACAACCCAAGTAAAATTATTCTTTTGGTCTTCTTTCTTTTCTTTTCTTTTCTTTTTGGTGTAACCATCTCATCCTTGGCTCAACCAATCTAGATTCGCCGAATAAAATTATTGAACAACCCTAGTTATATATGAATATTTCTTATTGGCTTTCATATTCTAACCCAAGGATGTTAAGGAGTCGTTTGATTGAAGGTTAGGATAATAATGCAGGGATGAAAAGTGAGATTATTTTATCGCATGTTTGGTTGAACTTTTTGATCCTGACATATGTAATCTCGATTAGTTATACCATAGTAGTCGTATTTTTTTTATACTGCATTCGGTGTGGGATAACAATTGTTAAATTAGCAAATCCCACAGTAATATAACCAAATGACAAAATGCCCTTCTTGAAAGTTCTTCTCCTAATGTCATTTTTTTTATGATTGTGGTTTCCGCGCCAACTTTCATGCACCTTGACTAATTCCTATCACCTTCCACCAGCAACACGTACCAGGTAACTCTGTCCACCAAGGCTAGGACAGAGGAGAAGAATCACCTAGTGTTTTTGTCTCCATTGGAATTTAAACCCGAGACCTCATGGCTCTCAACTACTTCATTGACCACTAGGCCACACCCTTGGGTGCTCTCCTAATGTCATTTTTTTTATGATTGTGGTTTCCGCGCCAACTTTCATGCACCTTGACTAATTCCTATCACCTTCCACCAGCAACACGTACCAGGTAACTCTGTCCACCAAGGCTAGGACAGAGGAGAAGAATCACCTAGTGTTTTTGTCTCCATTGGAATTTAAACCCGAGACCTCATGGCTCTCAACTACTTCATTGACCACTAGGCCACACCCTTGGGTGCTCTCCTAATGTCATTTTTAAGAAGGTTATACCAAAGTCATTTAAGAACGCCAAGATTAAAATTGAACATAAAATTTATCCAAATTTATCTAATGTAAAAAAAAAAACAAATTGTTTTGTATTATATCTCATATATCCCATTTCTAACTTAATGAACCAAACATCTACATGAAAAAGTATAGCCATTAAATAATCTCTTTATTACATAATCCCGGTACTATAACCTTCACATTATAATCTCAGTATAACTTTTTCACTAACCAAATGACTGCTTAGGGTTTTGAAACCATTAAAAGAAGACTCGATGCCTGCATGTATATGCTAGAATATATGGAAGGAAAGAAACGTGAGATGCTTTAAAGGGAAGAAAGTTAGTGCACAACAACTTAAATACAAATGCTTATGGCTTTTGGATTTTTGGTGTAATCTATAGGATGTAAAGGATGAAGATAGTATGTTAGATTTCAGACAATCTTTACAAGAATAGGATCTTTATTGCAAAAATCCTTTTTCTTTGTTTTTTGGTACAGAAAGATGATTGACTCTTGTACTGCCTTAACACCAACTTAGTGCTAAGTTGCTACATTTTTAATACATAGTCTACTTTCTAAAAAGGAAAAATCAAACCCTCGAGACTTCCCTTTGGTTTAACCCCATTAACAGACACTTCATTGATAAGAACCCCATGAAAAGACACTACAAGGTGGATTAGAGCACATTTTCTCCCTCTCCCATTCATCCTGCTATTAGCAGCCTTAAGTTAGCATGAAAGCAATTTTCCCAAAAAAGCACTCACTTATTTGGGATCAAAGCTAATTGGATCATGGAAACATGTGGGTTATTATTTGGGCGAGCTTCTCAAGTAGTTTTGAATTCTAGATGAATTCATGAAACCTTTGTGCAGAACCAAAAGTGCATCAGTTTTACATACTTGGAGGACTACTAGACTGCCACATAAGACAATAGGGACAATTGAGTAAAGACCCAAACGTAAGAGATGGGTTCTCCAAATGACACAACTGAATTGGAAGATTTAATAATTGTAGCAAACTACATGTTAACATGCCACAGACAAATCTTTCTACTTCCTGAATTAACAAAGGTAGACAAACAATGCACTTAACATAAAAGAAGATACTAGCTTTTGCAGATTAATGAGAATAGTACCAATAAGTCAAAGCATTATTACAGTCATGTTTTATATATTGCTATGAACTGCAATCCGCAGAAAATAGATTTATTAACTATCACAACATATTGAAGAGAACTAAATGTGAAAATGATGACGTCCCTTGAGATCAGAAACAGATAGTAGTTTTAGTTAGAGAAAAAAAAATATACTACCAGTGACAATTACATCTTAAAGGGCAGAATGAAGAAATCCATGCTCAAATGACAACAACTATAACTAGTCTACAATTAAAGCTGTTTGAGAGCAGTCCTCTGTCCCACAACTAACTCTGTTGCAACCCGCACTTGTCGGTCCTTCAACACATTTCCAAAGTTACCACCACCATATCACGAATCAGAACAATTAGTATTTAAACTCACTATCCTGTAACATGCCACAGACAAGTTTTCTACTTCCTGAACTATATAAGGTAAAATAGAAAATGCACGTAACATAACGGCTTATCATCTGTAGATTTTTGAGAAAGGTCTCAAAGCATTAGTAGGAGCATAGATATATTACTATCAACTGATACCAACATAACATATTTGCAACAACTATGTCTGACAATTCTAACAATGTTCCGTGAAATCAGATAGGACAACAGCTTTAATCAGGAAAAAGGAAAAACCCAATGCAGTACCATGAACAGTCCCATGCTCAAATGACAACAATTTTAAGTAGTCTACTGTTCAAATGACTCTAATTAATAGACATAGAAATATAAATACATCAACAGAAAGCTACAGAATCATAATCACCTGAAGCATTCGCCATGGAGATCCACGCCAAGGGCCACTTTCAGTCAAAATGACAGATGAAACAGTCCCTTGAAAGCAAGCCGTTCTAGATGAATCCTCCGTTTCCACAGCCATCTTAACCCTCGTACCAACTGTCCAAGGTATATTCAATGCCATCTCTACCGCTTGTGCCTTCACCACAAAATCTGCCCAGTCATCCCGTGGATTACACGATACTTCAAATGGCACTCCCCGTGCCGCCATTTCCGCTACCGCCGCAACAGCCTCCATCGTCATCCGCCCCTTTCTAATCCCCCAAGACACATCCGGGCTACCACCACTATTGATATGTTCACGCATCAAAAAAGAGGAAGTCCACTTCTGGGAATTGTCATTTCGTTTAATAGCTCGTCGGACACCCACATAGAGTTGATCATTTGCAGTTCTCCGCATGAACACGGCGGAATCACCAGCGACAAGCTGTTTACTGTTAACAAACTTGCTCCAACCAGTAGTAAGCAAATGCCGTCGAGGTGTTCCACGATAAATGTGTCGAAACTCCCAAACACCACCTTTAATATCCCTTATAGACAAATTCTGAACCGGCGGTTCTGCCTCAAAATTAAGCCGAGGAAATATAGAATCAGCACAGAACCGCGGCACAGAGAAACCTCCTCCATTGTTCGCATCTGACGGAGTTAAAATCTTCACAAACGAAACGATTTTGTCCTCAACCTCCTCCTCCTCACTCACAGTAACTTCATCAACCTCACTCGGACTAATCGGATGCAGAAAAATCTTAGCGAATGCCTCGTCCGTATCGGATTCAGCGAGAAAACGAACAGATAGTACACGGCATAGAATAAACGCAGGTATACCAGGGGACAGTACACCAGGTGAAGTAAAGGTTGCATGTTCAGCGTGTCCTTGAGGGAAGTAGTAAACCCTGGAACCGACGGGAGGTATTTGGACAGATTTTCCGGCGATTGCTCGCCAGACTATAGGGTCCACTTCACGGTCGGAGGCGGTTGGAGCCTGCATTGGGAAACGAGTGTGTGTAGACTGAAGAGAGAAAAATTACAGAAAGAAGAAACTGAAAGATATTTATGTATATGTTGTATGTATAGGTAAGAGAGTGGTCGGGGTGCCATTGAGGGGTCGGAGAGAGAAGAGTGTAATTATAAATTTACCTTTGTTTTTCGTAATAATTACAAAAATGGACACGACAATTTGAATGCATCTTTTGTACTTGTATTTCGGTAACTGTGTTCACGTGAGATAGAGTCGCGTGGAGTTCACTGCTTATGCAAAAATATCGGAATAAAATAACTGATTTTACTATTTTACAGTTATTCTTACTTGTTTTTTTTTTCCTTCAAATGTCTACATCTTTTACTATTAAGGTAAACTAGTTAAAGCTCATAATTATAACATAAAAAGTAAGTGTAAAAATATTAAATAGGTGTTATTATGGAGTAGTATTTTGTAATTTTTAAACGTTATAAAGAGAATAAAGTCATTTTTAAGATGGATGACATTATATTGTAGATGAAGAGAATAAAGTAACTAATGAGTAATAATAACATTTATAAATTTAATATTAAATTAGTAAATTGTAAATAATGTAGGAGGATTTTTAGGTATTACTTTTTTTTTAATCTTTGTCTTACACAATACTATTGCTATTGGAAGTCAAATAATGTTTTTCTTGCTGTAATTTTTTTAGTAACTTTTAATTGCAATTATCAGCATTACAATTTTATTTCATAAAAAGAGATGGCAAGGCAAAATAGGTTTTTAAATCCATAATTTTATAACTACATTTCATCTAATATTTTATGGTATTTTTAGATTATAAAATCTTAATTTTATCTTTCTAGATATGTAATTTACTACAGTAATATTAAACTGTCCAAGAAACTATAACCTAAAAGTCATGCTTTCATTTCTAACATGATATTCTTTTTATAGAGAGAATTATTTATCATAAGTTTAATTTATCACTTTTAATTGTTTTTTTATTAATGATGAAACATGATTTTAATTAATGTAGTTGTGTTGATAAAGGAATTATTTGTGGAGATTCTTTTATTTAGATAAAAATTAGAAGTGCACTTAAAATAAAATGAGATAAACTTATGTGCTTCAATTCTTTCTGTTAATTTAGTATTTGCCTAATCAATTAATCAGTTTCTTTATAAGTTTAATAAAATAAAACACTGAGATCTTTTAACAGGTAATTTTTTTTTTTGATATGTCCAAAAACAAACATATCACTCTTGAATAATCATGAGGAAGACAAGCTTAAGAAGAGTTATAGAGAGACTAATAAGGCTCGATAATAATAATAAGTAAATAAAAAATCAACATCATTATATATATTCTATTTTGCATAGATTATGAACTGAAATATTTCAAATAAAGAGGAGAACTTTAATCTTTAATTTTATGAGTGCTAAATTTACTCAAGTACTCAAGTCTATAATAAGAGCTAAGATATATGAATTTAGCTTGACGGTGATAACGAAATACCCAATATCTTTTTTTTTGTCATAAAATTTTGTATATTATAGTGAATATAAAATTAAGGACCGTGAATCTTTGATTATTTCTACATCAATAGAGATAAAATCATGCTAACCATGCTTGAAATCTATACCAAAAAAGGGTAGGACTTATTGTTATGTTTTTCTTATTGTCTTATTTAACTTTATTACTAATAATCACAAATTTACAAACATTGTAATACAAAAAATAATCAGTAAAAACATAGGTATATTTTGTCTTACTTTTCTTTTTAGTCCATTTTAAAAAGACCATCTATTTCCTCTCTCTTTTTACAATTTTAAATTCTGCTTCCATATGACATGTTTAAAATCACAAAATAAAAAGTATGATATATTTTGCAAATCTTTAGTTAAAATCACAAAATAAAAAAAAATCTTTATTTTTTAAAAACTTTCTAACAAAGTCAAAATTAACCAAAATAATTGACACAAAAGGAGTAACGTATTTTATAATTTCTAAAATATATATTTATTATGTTATAAATAAATTCTAAATTATTTCATTAATGACAATTAAAATTCATTTATCTATCTCTCTCTCTCTCTCTCTCTCTCTCTCTCTCTATATATATAGCACAGCATTAAGCTTTTCCATGTTATCTTATTGGGCCCTACATGCTGCATTAAATTTTGGAAAAATTAGGCAAAATAACAAACATTTACCTTATATTCGGTACTATATTTATAGGTTAAGAAAATTGTAATTTGTTGTTACGATTTTTCAATTCTTATAATTCGCTTGATTTGTATAACTTACCTGCTTTGTATAAATTCAGAATTTATATAATTCGGTTTTTGATGGTATAAAATCATAATTTTATATATACTTATCCTAGTTATTTGTATATGATTTATGGAAAAAAACATAATAAATTACCCTATTTGTATATTGGCAAGCGAAATATAGAAACAAAATTTTGAAAAATTCTTAAATGTATAAATGCAGAAGTTTTATATACTTAATATATTGGTGTATTCGCAAGGGAAATATACAAATGGGGAGAAATATACAAACAGTAGCCTCCATAGCAAACAAAACTATAACTATGAAGCATAATTATCAAAATTATAGTTATAGAGCCTATTAAATCTATTATGTTTGTTGTTTTTGAAATATTATCTTATATTTTTTTATTTTTTTTCTAGAAGAGATTAACAAAAATGACAGCCACATTAATATAAACAGTTGCCGTTATTTTTTAATTTTCTTATTATTTTTTATTCAAAATCATCTAACCATTTATAATTGTTTACAAATAAAATAAATCACGGCCATTATTTGGGTGGACATTTGACATGAATCTACCACCCCATTGACGAAACTGGACCAGAAGGGATCTCTTTCTGATTTTTACCTGACACGACATGTATGTTTACCCAATATAAAAATGTATACGTTATTTTTATTTGGACTCAAAAGTGTGGTTGAGTCAATAAATTACATGAAAATAATTGTTCAAAATTTATCATAGATAAAACTAACATAAAATGCAAAGTATTATTTTTATGTATTAAACTTTATAGAACATATTTATTCAAATTTTGTGTTAATTGAAAATAACATATACTTTGATACGATTGGAGTTAACATGGTTGACAAGAAATTTCCAAGTCATAGTTAGGGCGAATTACAGAAATCACATACTTTTAAGGCAAAATTACAATATATTCCTTAGAAGTTTATAATTACAGAAATTCCTCAAACATATACAATAATATAAGCGCTGATACATTAATCTGATGCACGAAATACATTAATCGTTAAATAAGATACATTACATTTTATACATGACACACTAATCTGATGTACATTTTATACATGATACACTAATCTAATGCGCGAGATACATTAATCTGATGTGCGAGATACACTAATTTGATGCATGAAAATGAGGAATTTTAGAGATTTCTAAAACTTATAGGGGATAATAGTAATAAGTAAACTAAAAGGTGAGATTTATGTAACTTTTCCTATATATATAAACAATAGAAGTGAAACTTATAAATACACACATGCACTCATATACATACATAAATACATATAAAATTAATTTTCACCCATTTTATTAATATTATTTTAGAAGGGAAAAAAAACAAAATGAAATGAAATTTGAGAGCGTGAGATTCAGACGCGTGATAATGGTATGTCCGTTCAAAGCTGAATTTGTAACAGAACGGTGTTTGTTTGTTGGTGGTGAGTCCAAAAATATAAATGTAAATAAATAACAGAACGGTGATAGTTGTGTAGTTTGTAGGAATATAAAACAAAAGAATTAAGGAAATGACTATATTACCCTCCAGCTATATTTTTTGCCACTCGGCCGGCAAAAAAGAGAAACTAAAATGTAGAACTCTTCATACAAGTGACACGTACAAAATTTTATATATACTATTTTTTTTTAAGTTCACTTGGACATTTTGGTAGCAGGTTGTCTTAATTAAAGACACACAATCAGGGTGTGCAAAAATCGAACCGGCTGATAAATTGAACTGAAAAAATATTATTGAGTTAAGGGATATTTAATAGTTTTATAAAAAAAATTATTGGATTTTCAATTTTTAGTATTGGGTTATTGAGTAAACCGATAATCTCATGATCCATTAATACGATAGTAAGTTACTCCTATACCCTTCATAAATATTAAATATTAATAATTTAACGTAACTAGACACTATATAAGTACTCTACACTACAGTCTACACACTTCACACGTCATAGTATATCTACTTCACATTAGAAATTCCATAATATGTTTTGGTTGTAACATGTTATTGTAAGAAAAAAAGAGTTATTGTAGTCTTCCTACTACCTCTACTCTTATTGATGCAATTTCTCATTATATTTCTTGTTTCACTATATCAAAGCATTTACAACTGATTTGCTTGTCTTACTATATCGTGCCAAATTGTTAGAGAAGTGAGAAATCATATATTTATTTTATGAGCATTTTCTTATTGGATAAATCAAAAACTGAACCGTTAATGACCAAAAATCGATAAACCAAAAATTGATAAAGAATATCTTATTGATTTGTTATTGGTTTAGCATATTCAAAAACTGAAAACTAAACCAATAATACACAAAACCGAACCGAACCGACTGATGCACACCCCTAGTTAGCAAAGGCATATCCAGAATTTCGGGATAATGAGTGTATTATTATGAAAATGTGGATCTAATTCGTTTGACATTCAAGTATGTATCACTGAAAACAGTTACAATTTTAAAATTATAGGTCCAAAATTGAAATGCATTGTTTTATTTAAAAATATTATTTGGACTGGTTTTAGAGTCGCCAGTTAATTTTTTAAGAAAAATCAAGAATATTCATTTTCACAAGACTAAAACAGGAATCTAGTGAAAACTTGAAAAGGGTTCGAGATTCTTATTAACATTGTAGGAAGGTTTTAAAAGCACCTAGAATGTCCACTAATGTGGTTATCCGACAATTAATTATTTGGCTAAATTCGTTTAACTTAATTTGAACATTTTTTATAGTTTAGAATT